AGAATAATAGTGGAGCATGTTTCACTGTTTACACAATTTAGCACAGAATCAATGAATGACTATGAGGAGTTATAGAAAGACCCGATGAGGAATTTGAGCGTATGAAAGCCATATTGACAACTAAAGTTGAAGATTTAGAATTGTCTGTACGCTCACATAATTGTTTACGCTCTGCTCAAATAGAGACGTTAGGACAACTCGTGCTTAAAACAGAGGATGAAATAGGCAAACTTAAAAATTTTGGTAAAAAGTCTTTATCAGAGTTAAAGTACGTTGTCGAGTCCAAGGGCTTACATTTCGGAATGGATATTTCACGCTATCGTAGTTAGGAACTCATTTATGGATAACTAAAAGTTTGTATAAAAGAAATGAATAAATTGAACTCTGTTAAAAAGTTAGGACGCACAAAGTCTCATCGTGATTCGTTACTATCGAATTTAACCACAAGTTTGTTTTTGCATAAACGAATAATGACGACCGAAGCAAAAGCAAAGGCGATGAGGGGCTTTGTAGAAAAGATAATTACAAAATCAAAGAAAGGAACAAGTTCTGTGCAGAGGGAAGTGTTTAAAAAGATAAAAAATAAGGATGCGGTCAAAGCATTGTTCTCCGAAATTTCACAGAAAGCGTTAGAAAGAAATGGCGGCTATACGAGAGTGATCAAGTTACCGCCAAGATTGGGAGATGCATCAAAAATGGCATTTATAGAACTTGTCGATTTTTTTGCTAACATTGAAAAAAAACCTGTCGTGAAAATGCAGGATAGATCTAAGCGATTAAAAGGTACAAAAAAGACAGATGATTCCACAGCCTCACCAAATGATAAAAAAAATAAGGATGGTGGTTCATAAGATTTGGGATGCAGTAAAGTTTAATCCTTACTTAAAAGTTTCTTTATCTCTTCTATGAAGTCTATATTTTTCGCATTTTCTTTGTGCTTGCTACTTTCAGGAAATCCGTTAATTTTGATTGAAATTGATACTTTATGGGATAAACCAAGTTCTGTGTATATATTTTGATTTATTGCATAGTCGAGTGAAAAGAAATAGACTTTAACACCAGCTCCTAAAGCCCAACCTCCTGTTACTTTTGAATTAAATGCAAGATCTTGTATTCCAAATCGTAGTGAAATTGTCTTTAAAAATTCATATTCTATCCCAAAAGCAAAGTTTATACTAACTTTGTCAAGGATTGTGACGGTCGAATACATTCTTCGTTCAAAATATGTGCTCATTTCAGCTACGGCGATTAGTTGTCCGTACAGAAAAGAATCAACTTTGTACGAAATTCCAAGAATAAGGGACGGTGGGATTAGTTCCTTAGTTCCGCTACTCCATGAAATTAACGTTGTAGAAATATTTTGCACGGTGAGACCAAATGCTAAACCGAAATTAGTGCTGTAAACTACTCCGCAATCTATTCCTATACCCCATGCAAATCCAATGGCACCAAAGGATCTGTACACAAACTTTAAGTTTAAACCAAAAGCTAAGTTTTTTAATGGTGAAAAAGAAAAAGTTGAAATAAAAATGTAATCAGTAGCAATAAAATACGAAAAAGTAAAATCCTGCAAATTTCGTAAAACTTGGTTTTCAAAGTCCCAATAATGTCTTGTGTCAGGGATATTCTCAACAGCATTTCGTAAAATTGTAAACGCAAAGGATTTATTAGAATCTAATGGTAATGCAAAGGCAATACTTTGATGATTTAAAAGCCCATTAAGGTTTGAAGCGTAAGAGATATTGGCTTCAAAGGATGTAATATCCTTAATTGCAGCAGGGCTGAAAGTAATTGCAGAAACATCGTCAGAAAAAGGTACACTTGTTCCCCCCATGCCTTGATATCTTGTGCCTATACCTAACGATAAAAAATCGGATGAGTATTTATAAAAGTTTTGTGAAAATGCACTTTTTGATATAAAAAAAAACATTATAGAAAATCCAAAAAAAATAAAAAAACTAAGAATTCTCGAAAATGACAGAATAATTAAAAAGAAATAAAAACTCCTTAACATGAAAATTAAGTCTGTAAGTTGAAACAATTAAGAATCATATAAAAAACTTCTATTTAAAAATCTGTCATTAAATAAAAATATATTTTACAATGAGTAAAAGTATAAAGCAATGCAAAATAGGTTAGTACAAATTCAAAGAAAGATCAAATGAGTTTACTTTCTTCATTTTTAACATCTTAGTAATGTTTGAAAAAAGACTGAATAATTGCTAATAAACTTAACTATGGGGGTCGAGGGTTTAGTTTATAAAATACTTTCCAAAAATAGTTAGTTACTCACTAAGCGGTTCATGTAGCCGTGCTGAAATTAAATACGAAAAGATCTAAATATTTTTTAATTTTGGGTTTTCTTTTGAGGTCTTAAATATTTTAATTAGTATTAGTAAAATTTTCAAAATAATGATCAAAGTCAATATCAATATTGTTGGGCTGCTTACTGCATTTTATTTGTTTGTCATTACGGGTTGTGGAAAAAAAGTAAATTATGAGGATTTTGCAAAAGCTGAATATCAAATAAATGAAAAGCAAAAGTTGCTTTTCGAATCATCTAAAGAAATTAGCGAAGATTTGAAAGAGATGATGAAGAGATATCCAGACAAAAAAATAAAGTTTGATACTGGTTTGGGCTTAAATGCAGATCAAGAAAGTGTGCTGTTAGATATGATAAAAAATGAAAAAGACCCTACATTTAAAGGAACTTTGCAAGAAATAGTTGATAAAAATAAGTTGGTGATAGAACTAACAGAGCAAATTCGAAAGTTGGAGGATAAACTTCCGACGTTCTATGTTGTTAAAAAGGGTGATTCTCACAGGATGATTGCGATAAATTTTTTGAAAGATGTTTATAAGTTAGAGCAAAAGAAAGCAGAGGAGTTGGTCGATAGGTCTGGTTTATATGATGAGTTGGAAGTTGGCTTTAAGGTTTGGTTATACTATAACGATGATGTTTTTGGCACATTTGTTACACAAGGTTCAGCTAAGGTTTCGCCTTATAAATTGAAGTTGTCAATGAGAAAGTCCCGAGAGGAGGAAATATATAGGGAGGCTTACGAAAAAGGGAGGAATGATACCTCCGGCAGTAGTAATTCGGAATTAAGTGAAACTACAAAATAAAAGTGATAATCGTTAATAGTTTGAGTATACTCTTATCGCGTGCACTTTGCTGTCTGTGTTGGGTTATTTTGGTTCTAATTTTGAAAAGGGAACAAGAATTTCTTCCATTGATACGCCACCGTGTTGGAATGAGTTTTTGTACTGATTAACCACTTTATGAAAGTTGTTAGGATAAACAAAAAAGAAATCCTCTTTGGCTATTGCAAGAGATGTGCTTTGAGAATATCCCGGTAGTTTTAATTTTGACGGATCCTTGTATAAAATTGTTTGTTTAGAGTCCACCTGCATACTGGTACTAAATTTAAATCTTAAGTTGTTGGTAGTTTCTTTGATTGCGCTAATTTTAGTTGGGCGCGTGCATCTGATACTTCCGTGATCAGTCGTTATTAGCGTTACCGAATTTTTTATTTGCGAAATTTCCTTCAATATACTAAAAAGAGAGGAGTTTTTGAACCATATTTCTGTTATGTCTCTAAATGCTTCCTCATCAAAGCACAATTCCTTGATTATTTGGGACGAGGTTCTAAAATGTGTTAAGATATCCACGAAATTTATTACCACCGCATTAAGTTGGTACGAGTTTTGATCTTTTGTGAGTTGAAGTAAGGATTTGGAATCTTCAATATTCGAAACTTTAAGGTATCTAATTTTATCAAATTTTAACCTTCTTCTCGAAAAAAAATCATTGAGGAAAGTACCTTCGTGAGCGTTCTGTGAAAAATCATCGCCGTCTGTATTCCATAAATTTGGAAATCTTTTTTGAATTTCTATAGGAAATAAACCACTAAAAATTGAATTCCTACTGAAAGCGGTTACAGTCGGAAGGATGCTATAATAGATAGAAGTGTTCATGGTAAAAAAAGGGGCTAAAATTTTTTCTATAACTAACCATTGGTCATATCGCATACAGTCAATTACAAATAAAAAAACACTTTTGCTTTCTTGCATTTCAGGTAGAACCTTCTGTGGTAAAATATCGGGCGACAAAATCGGTCTTAACTTACTATCGGCGTAACACCAATTTTCGTATTCTCGTTGAATAAATCGCGAAAACATAATATTAGCATCTTGTTTTTGTCTTGCTATTGTTCCATAAAAATCAGGTGAAAGTTGAGAATTCAACTTAAACTCCCAATTCACAATATTTTGATAAGTATTAATCCATTGGTGATAATCCAGTGAATCCGACAATGTAGAAGTTATTTTAGAAAATTCGGATTGATAGCTTTCTGTAACAGATTTTAAGGTAATCTCATCAAGTTTTAATAATTTTTTGCATGTAATTAAAATTTGATTTGGGTTAATTGGTTTTAACAAATATTCTGCTATTGTTGAACTAATTGCGTGGTCAATAATGAGTTCCTCATCATTTCTTGAAATCATAACTATTGGAATGTGGGGTAGTATCTTTCTAATTAATTCCAAAGTCTCAAATCCATTTAGTCCATCCATATGAAAGTCCAGAAAAATAATATCAAAGGTATTTGTAGATAGTAAATGAATTGACTCTTCACCACTTTTAACGCAAGTGACTGAGAAGCCTCTTTCTTTAAGAAATATTACGTGTGGGGTAAATAAATTTATCTCATCGTCTGCCCAAAGAATTTTGTATGTCATAAAAGATACTAATATTGTAAAATGAAACGGTTCAAGTTAAATTTCCGATAACCTCTATTCATGCTTACACACTCCACCGGATATTAATTCAGAGAATATTAAATAAAAGGTGAAAATACACTTTATTATTGAAGTTTGGTTCATTTGTTCACTCTTCTTGCTTGTAATTTTAATAATTTATTGGTTTCATTTACTACTTTATTTGGTGAAATTAAAAGAATAAGTTAAATTTGTTTGGCGAGTTGAGTAGGAAACGAGGAGAATTCGCCTAATGGTATGGCAGCAGTCTTGAAAACTGCCGGGTGAAAGCCTGTGGGGGTTCGAGTCCCTCATTCTCCGCAAGTTATGTATTTTTGGAAAGGTGGCCGAGCGGCTTAAGGCAGCGGTTTGCTAAACCGCCATAGTACTGTAAGGTGCTATCGAGGGTTCGAATCCCTCCCCTTCCGCATTCCAAAAAGTTTTCGCTTTATAAGTTAATTCAACACATATAATTGCTTAGAATCGTACTCTGAAAAAAGTACGTCTAAATTTGATAATAATTTTGCAGAAATAAAATAAATTAATGGCAAAGTTGCGAAGAAAAAATACCAAGAAGGCTGTACCTACAAATAAAACAGTTAAGAAAATAATACTGAAAACAGAGAAAAAACCACCACACGCGGTTTCGAAGAAAGAAAAGGATTTGATGCTGATTGAAATAATTTTAACCTCTAAATTAGAGATTGAGAGGGAGGATGCCTATCGCAAATTGTGGAATAGGTACAGGCAGCAATTAAAAATATTTATTTGGAAATATGTTAAAACGGATGAGGACAGCGAAGATATTTTGCAGGATTCGTTTATTAAAGCTTTCAATTCAATTAAATCCTACGATAAGAAATATGCTTTTTCAACATGGCTCTATAGAATAGCGTCAAATACCGCTATTGATTTTTTAAGACGCAATAAAATTGAAGGCGTTTCTATTAATCAAAACTTGGGGATTGACGATCAAGATGTATATTTTCTTGAAATACCCGATAAAACTTTTGATAGTATGTTTGAATTAGAAGTAAAGAAGGAAAGACAAAAATTGATGAATTATGCAATAGAAAAACTGCCCGATTCCTACAAAAAAATAATTAAACTAAGGCATTCCGAAGATTTGTCATACGAGGAAATTTCTAAGTTACTACGTATGCCAATTGGAACCGTGAAAGTTTATATTTTCAGAGCAAGAGAAATGCTGTACAAATTGTTAAAGCACAATATAAAGAACTACTAAGATCATGCTCAACTTAAGGGATTGTACTAAAATATTCTTTTCGGAAAGCATTAACGAGGTGGCGGCATTTAACAATATTAACCTAAATATCACAGAAGGACAGTTATTAGAACAGATAGCTACAATTGGAAGTGGCAAAAGTTCAATTTTGAATGCAATCTCTGGCAATCTTACTATTACAAATGGTACCATCCTGCTAAACAAAATAGATATAACGAACACAAAGGCATATAAGAGAGCCAAATGGATCTCTAAGGTGCCTCAAAACCCTTACGCCTGTACGGCACCAAATATGACGGTAAGTGAAAATATGAGATTAGCCCAATTAAGAGATAAAGCTAAGTTGATCATTTTTGGATTAACATCCTCCGAAAAAAAAAATTACACAGAGTTGTTACGCACGCTTGATATTGGATTGGAACATAAAGCTGTTAGTTTGGTGAACTCACTTAGTGGTGGACAGCGTCAAGCACTTACTTTGTTAATGTCTGTTTTAATTAGACCAAAATTACTTTTGTTAGATGAACATACCGCAGCCTTAGACCCATTGTCTGCAACCCGCATTATGAACCTCACAAATACATTTATCCGTCAGTATCAACTAACAACTATAATGGTAACACACTCTATTCAGCACGCACTTACTTACGGTGATACCTTAATTATGATGGACAAAGGAAAAATTGTGTGGGAAGTAAAAAGGGAAGAAAAACAAACACTCACAAAAATGATGATTCTGGATAAGTTTAACGAGCTTAAACTGCAACTCACATAACCCTATTTAGGTACGTCATTATATTTTACTCCTTGTTTATCCTACCTAATATTTTATTAAAAGTAGCTTTCTGAATTAATACTCATAAATTACTTGCGCAAAACTTACTTGTGATTCTGTAAGATATAATTCGGCATCGGACAGTTCTAATTGCGACGAAAGTCCCTTTTCCCACCGACTTTTAGTTACAGCATATAAACGTTTGGCTGATTCCAAAGTCTGCTTTTTTGCGCCTACTCGCTCTGTTATTTCTCTAATTTTAGATATTTGATTATGCACTTCTGTTCTTAATCTTTCCTTAGCCAATTCTAATTGAAGTGAAAACTTCTCTGACTCCAATTTTGCCAATTCAATACTGGAAGCACCCTTAAATCCGTCAAAAATGGGTACATTTAATTGAACACCTGTAACAAATGTTGTTGTTAAATTTAATGAACTGTTCGTAACAAACACAGGATTTATCTGAAATTCAGCAAATGCACTTAAAGTCGGTAATACTTCACTTATAGCTGCCTGCTTATTCACCTCATATAACTTATTTTGCAATTCAAGCGCGACTATTTCAGGACGCCCGTTAAGTGCTATCTTATAAGCATTGTCAAAAGAAATTGAATCAATATAAGTGTCAGGTACATACAAAAGTGAATCTAAAAGAATAATGTCGTCGTTCTCACTAAAGCCTATTTCAGTCTTTAATGTTGTCAATGCAATCGATGAAGAAGTTCTTGCCTGAGTAAGTAACGATAAAGTATTTTGGTACACAATGCTTGCACGCAATGTATCTATATCAGAAATGATACCTTGATCAAATATCCGTTTCGCATCTTCGAGACCGTCCTTATTCCGCTGAATGCTTTGCAAAGCAAACTTAATCTGAAATTGAGCTAAAATCGCACTATAGTACTTGGATATAACAGAAAAAATATAATCCGAGTTTTCAATTTCTCTATTCTTAGTCGCAAGCCTGTTTTGAATATCAGTGATAGGAACAGCAAAAAATAAGCCCCAGTTAAAAAGCAACTGCGACGCGGTAACTTTTGAAGATAAATTGGCAGGAAAAGAAAAATTAATTGGATTACGCTTATCTGTAAACTTAAAATACCCCGTATTTTCCTCCACGGATATAGGTAAGTATTGCGTGGGAGTTAAAACATTATAAGAAAATGAACCCGATATGGATAATTGTGGAAACAATGGACTTAGTTGATTTCTTATAGTTTGTGAAGATTTTTCAAAGTTTATGTTTGTAATTTTAGAGTTCTTACTGCTTTTTAATCCTACATCAATAGCATCTCTTAATGTAATCTTTGTTTGCGTTTGACCGAACAACTGAACCGATGATATAACAATGAGATAACAACAAGTAGCAACGACATGTATTACTCGCATCTATTTAATTTTAATTGTTATGATTTTATCTCCAATTTCTAATTTATCAATTATCTCCATTCCTGAAACAACTCTTGCAAAGGGCGTGTATCGCCCATTTAAGTGAGGTTGAGACGCAGACATGAAAAAAAATTGAGACCCCTCCGTATCTTTCCCCGACGATGCCATACCAAGAACTCCACGCAAAAACGGGCGAGGTGTAAACTCAGAACGAATAGCATACCCAGGCCATCCCGTGCCTGTTCCAAGAGGGTCACCTCCTTGAACAACAAAATTTGATACAACCCGATGAAAAATTGTGCTATCATAATACTTCTGAACTGCTAATTCAATGAAGTTTCGAACCGTATAAGGAGTCTCTTCAAAAAATAATTCAATTTCAATCTTGCCTTTCGTTGTCTCAATCACCGAATACTTTTTGTCCTTATACTTTGTATAAAGTGCAGTTGTAAAATCATCACTTAAAAAAGCGGTATCTAACTTAACTTGACGCGGATGAACTTGACGCACCAAATTAAGTTCCGATATAGACTGCTGATAGGGCTTGCTAGAGGGATCTAACAGCAAAAGCCTCTTCGCAATTTCATAACGAATATCCACCGACTTAGACGACGCAATAAGCTTTTCCAACTTTGGACGTATAATGATATTCGCAAGTGAATCACCACTATATAAATCCATTAACTCTAGGGCGCTTTTTAATATATGATAGCTCGACGAAGAAAGCAGATGTTCAATTAATTTAAGTATCGGCTCTTTAATTTGTGGAACACGTGAATAAGGTCGAATACCCTGAATCGCCGCCGTAGCAACACGATCCTCTCTATCCTGTGAAATTTGATATATAGCATTGAACCCTATAGGTGAAAGCATGTTGGAAAATACAGATGCAAGATACATTCTTGGCTCAGCGGGATTCTTTGGATCTAAAAAACGAACAAGCGTATCTATGTGTGGTTCTATAAGCTTGGTATCACGTACATGGGACAACGCATAAAAAGGCGAATAAAAGTCAGGCTTCTTATCAATCAAAAAGTAGCAAAGCTCAACACACTTTAAAACCATTGCCTCATTACTCACATTTCGCATAAATGCAGATGCAAGCGACATTCCTTGTGCTACCGCAATCTCCGGCACCCCATAAGAAAAAGAAGCAATTTTAGACATCGCCTTTTCAGAAGCAGACACTCCAAGCGTATGCAATAATTGAATTTTGACACCGACATTAAGTTCTAATTCAAGCCTCTTTACAAGTAAGTCCTCAATAGCCCCAGTTAGCGGTTTCGTTAGAAAACACTGCGATATAGCAAAAAGGACACCCTTTCTGACCTTTTCAGACTTAGAACCTATATGTACAAGAATACTCGCAGGAAAACTATCAGGCTGAATACTACCCACCCCTCTTAAAGCAATCGCCTTCATCTCATCCGACTTGCTTAAATATGATAAAGTCTTGTCTAAATCTCTCTGATCAATTGCCTTAAGAAGTGAAAAAACATCACGATCATTTTTAATGGTAGATCCGCAAGACAAAAAAATAAAAACAAAAATCAAAGCCGTGGAAAAACTAATTGCACCCGTCTGTTTCATAATGTTTTGTGAATAAATAAATAAAATAATAAAATGTTATAACGCTACGAACTAACAAAAAATTCTATGAAATAGTAACATTCAAATCAATTAACGCAAAATTACTTCACACACATCATAAAAAATTATTTCCCTGTAGATGTTGTGGAGTGAAATTTATACCATTTCCAAACGCCCAATCGCAGAAAAAAGTAAAACACAGAACCCAATAGCCACCTTGACATCCCATATATCCTATATCCTAAATCAGATTTATACAACACACGCTTGACAGAAGAAATCCATTTGTTACAATGAATTGCCTCTTCTGCCGTACGCCCAACTTGTGTTCGAATCTGTTCGCTTATCTCTCCATCCTTTACCTTCCATATATCACTCTCAAAACGATGATTCGGTACAACCAAAGCATCTGATAGTATCCCAAGCGT